GGGGTAGGACTAGATAAGTCTAACTTCTTCCTACTCCGTTCAAGCATGTACTAGGTATAAGCAAATTGAAAATATATTTGTGGATATGTGTGGAATTATGTGTGTTTACATATTGACTGTTGTTACATGTTTGAAAGAATAAATCAAATCAAAAACTGTTTTATCTCGTACAGTGTGTCATAGTAAATAGCAAAGTCTGGCATGTCAGATTTTTTTGTCATCAACCACAATGCGGTGGGTGGACGCTGACCAACACGAGCACAGATGGCTCTTCTGTTCACAAAGTTCTTGGCAGACTGGACTGAACCATATTCCTTATAAATCGCAGCGATACAGCTAACATTAGCATTTTGACTTTCACAGTTAGCCTTGTGAAGTAGCTACCCTATCAGGGCTAGCTAGCTAGTTTTTGATTTTACTACCACCTTAAAACACTTATTTTTAACTGTTCTCCCTGAAAGACAGACAACATAGGCTGCTGCCCATGGGGCTTTTTATCCCCGTTTTTTTATGCTTTTCCAAACACAAGCAGCCAGTACACACACCACAGATGCTATTGTGTGTTTACATTGTCCCGGTCTCTGGCACCTCCAAGTGGTAAACAACGTCAGGCCACGCCATCTGTCAAGTGGTCTGTCATGTCACCAGGCACAGGAACAATCCACCTGGGGTAGGTCATTTTGACGGTAAATTTATTAAGCCTGCTGTTTGAACAGTTGTGCCAGTCATTATGCATATTATTAATCTGTCTTTTAGGAAAGACGTATGTCCACTAGCATGGAAAATTCCATTCCGTTCCAACTTTATTTATAAAGCACTAAAAACAACCAAGGTGGACTAAAGTGCTGTACAGTGTAAATAACAATATACATTAAAAATAAACACAACTTACAAGTACAGATAAAATCAACACCAATAAAAATGCCAACAAGAATAAATGAGTTTTCAAAAGGGACTTAAAAACAGGCAAAGAAGAGGCTTGTCTAATGGGCAGTGGTAAATCATTCCATAATTTGGGAGCAGCAGCTGCAAAGGCATGATCACCTCTAAGCTTGCGCTTTGTTCTGGGCACACTCAAAAGAAACTGATTAGCTGACCTCAAAGAAAGCGTAGGTGTATGCCAGTGAAGCAAGTCAGATAAATAAGAGAGACTAAAATCTAAAATGGGAAATTATGTGTAATTGAAAGATGTGCAAAATAATTAACACAACAACTAATAAAACAAGTAATTTGAGCTCTGGTTTTGTCTCAGTTAAATGATTGTTCTGCAGTCTGGTCTGGCATTTCATCCAGTAAAGTTCATACATCACAGCTGGTCCAGAATAAGACAGCGCCAGTAGCTCTGGTTGTGAGATAAGAACAAATGTTACTAAGATGCATGAATGTCTTTCCTGGTTAAAAAACGATTCTTGTATTTATTGGTCGTCATCAGGACCAGACACTGTTTATAACAAGTTATCTTTCTGTACTGATACACATAATTATTTAACAAGACCTGCTGTTGAAGGTGGCTTCATTTTACCACAGTCTAAAACTACAGCAGTTCAAGGTACAGTAAGGTATCGAACAAAGTATGAGCGGAATTTAATGCCAATTTATATTACTCAACAAAATAATGTTAATGGTTTTGAACAACACTACCTGACTGGCATGTCATGTTAAACTGAGATTGCTATGTTAAATCATGATAATTCAATCAGAGAGTGTGTTTTGAACCTTTGACGGACTGCTGTTTCCTGCGGTAAACCGTACTCATTTCCTGTTTTCTGTATTTGCACTGTGTTGTGCTTGCTTCCAGATTGTTTAGGAATTAAACTCACTATTTTTTAGGTTCATCTGAATTTTTGAGTGACAACATACGCTTGCACCACTTAAAGCACTTGTTTTGCAGAAGTTCTTGCTAACTACCAAATTTAACTTGCTACTTTAGGTCGGCTAGTTTAGAAGCTAGCTAAGCTAGTAGCTTAATCGAGAGCAATGGCTTCCCCCTCTTCCTCTCCTCCTTTCTCTTGCTCGGAGTGTCGCATGTTCAGTTATTCCTCTGCCTCCTTTAGCGATAATGGTACTTGTAATAAATGTCAGATGCTAGCAGCATTGGAGGCGAGGCTCACAGACTTAGAAGCGCGGCTCCACCCCATGGAGAATAGGCCAGCTAGCTATGCCCATGTAGCCGGAGCCTCCTAGACGTAGCTTAGCCCAAGATAGCCGCCCCCCACAGCTTCCC